CCTTATCATAGTAAGATTTCGACTCATCCGCTTTTATCCAAATCACTCCTTCTTGCAACAGGACTCGACCGCCCTAACTAAGCAGGCCTATGACCATTAGACAGCCCATAGTACTTTGAAAAAGCTTTGGGCCGAACATAAACTTACGCTCGATCAATAATATTATTTTGAGCCCAAACAGACCTTCATTAACAAGTAAAAGAAGGTGTGAAGAAATATCATGATCAAATATATACCACAACTTTATTAAGTACTACCAAAACAAAATTAGGAACTTCGAATATTTATTACTGTTGGGAATCACACATCATATTCATTTCATATTTGTGGTCCTTAGATATGAGAGAGGATCATCGCCGGATCCTCTAATCACATTCATTCATCGTATATCGTACGGTCAGTTTTCATCAGGTTTTGTTTATATTCAATTTTAAATAAAAAAATTTATAAAGATTTCTGACCTTGCAATGTACAACGAACGAATATAATTGGAGGATTCTCGAATTCTTATAAAGAGGATCCTCATTCCTTAGATATTATCACGATGCATGTGTACGAGACTCACGTGGAACACTAATTCTATGTGGCCACTTCTTTTGCCATTTTGTATGCTGCGGGAAACTCGGCAAGACTTTCAACAAAAACGAGTGGATCACAGTACAACTTCTGTAACTTTCGTTGTTGTTTTTTCTTAATTGAATGACGTGAGCTGTGACTACTTACCAAGAACTACAACCCTAAACCTTTACTCTCTGAAACTTTCATTGTTTTTGTCAAACATTCATTACGACCCTCGACGGTGAAAGACATAAATAAAAAGATTGAAATAAGACTGTTGAATCAACAACTCATTATTTGGACCGATGATTAGCCACATAGTTGTTGGAATTAGATCCTCTCCTGAGCAAGAGATCAGATCTTCCTAACTCACTAACACGGACTGTTGGATTTTAATTCAACGGCTATAATTATTTTAATTTTTAAAAAAGTCTTCTGTTCATAGTTGTTATATCAAAATCCAACGGTCCGTATTGGTGGATCAAGAGAGGATCCAATTCCGTGGTTGTTGGCTCTGTTATGGAGTGGCTGACTTGCCTGCCAGCATGGGCCCCGCCAGGCTTTTGTCTGGAATACGGGGAATCCGTTTGGGGCGTGGGGCTTAAGTCGCACAGCTCACACACATTGTTGGGTGCATAACGACTTAATCCGGGCTTAATTCTTGAAGAGAATCTGAGTCAAAGAATTATTTTCCGAAAGCTTGTTTTAACCCAATAGTTAAAAATGGTTTGGATGAGATTTAAAGTTTAAACTTTAAACTTTATCCCAACCATTGCAAATGGTCTTAGTGATGTTATTAGTCCAAAAGAAAGTTTCTTTTATTTCTATGACATATGTTACTAGCTAGACTTCATGCACAAAGTAGGAATAAAAATTATGAAGCCAAGAAACTGAATGGAGAACAAATTCAGGATGATGCTGAATTGCTGACAGATGCGTTGTACACACGGGTTGGGTTGGGTTTGTGCTATCAATTTTGATTGGGATGAATTTGGGTCTTTAGGCGTTCCTTAGATGATCACCGCTGCAACTGCAGTTTCTTAAAATAAAAATAAAAAGAGGACTATCGTTTTGAAGCAAATATAACCAAAAAATGAATGAATATGATATGCTATTTGAAGCTGTTCGAACCATTAAATGAGGTTCGAAAATAGTTTTTTAAACTAAAAATGGATACACTAATCCAAAATTCAAGCCAGAACATTACCAAAATATCCTATATGAACTTTAATTAGACATTTACGATGTGGCAAAATTTTGCTAAACCCATGAAAAATCATGCGTTATTTTATTTATTTTATTTGGTTAAAATTTGATAATTTTTTGCGACATTTTTCCCTTTGAGGTTTTGGGCCCGAGGATAGTAAACCATGATGCTTTCGGCTAGAAGAAGGGATGTCTCCTTACTGTAATGATTGGATTGGCTCTGCTCGCCGGTTGTATTTTGTGCGGCACCGGACACCTCACTTGAAGTAGTTTTGGACCGAGGACTATTTTCATCAAGACGCTTCTCCAATTACTTTGCCTGCCGAAGTTCCTCTCGAGCTTCTGTTACTTTACCTTCTCTCTTTAAAGCTAATGCCCTCCTCTTAAAAGCCTGGATTTCTTGCCGAATGGCACTTTGGTTGCTCTGAGAAGCAGATTTCTGTCATCCCATTTTTTTGACATAATATTTTATAAATGGTGGTACTAGAATTGACGTTAACTGTGAGGCGACAAAGAGTCTATGGAAAATTCCACTTTTGAGAGTCTCGTTAACATTTCTCTAGAATAAAACACCCATGGATATACAACCCATGGGGCAAAATGACCACCTTAATCGATTGTCATTCGCTCTCTTTCTTCTTATAGTACCTAACTTTCTACTGAGAAAAACGATTCAATGCTCCATTTGGATGACCCTTCTTTTCTCCCTTTGTTTATGTTACTCTCCCATACATTCTGCTTAGTTAAAAGAGATTATTAAGACGGAAGACCAATAGCACTTTAGTTAGCAATGGTCTCTCAACTTTAATCAAATTGGAGTAATGGTCCATCAATTAAAAATCTGTTACTATTGGTCCCTCAACTCATCAAAATGAGTAGCTATAATCCTTTTCGTCAACTTCGTTACAATTTTGTCAAAATGAGTTATGTTGGAAGAACCATTGCTACAATTGGGGTCCCTTAACTCATCAAAACGTGTAGCTATGATCATTTTCATCAAGTTCGTCAGAATTTTGTCAAAATGAGTTTTGTTGGAAGGACCATTGCTACAATTGGGTTAAAGTTGAGGGACCATTGCTCTAATTGGATTAAAATTGATAGACTATTTCTCCAATTGTATTGAAGTTGAGGGACCAATGATAATGAATTTTTAGTTGAGGGACCATAGCGGCACGTTTTGATGAGTTGATGGACCAATAGTAATAGATTTTTAGTTGATGGACCATTGCTCCAATTGAGTTGAAGTTAATGAATCATTGCTACAATTTACTCTCTTTTTTTAGCTGAAAGGATAATATATGAGATGAATAATATATGAAAGCACATATATACTCAGTCATGGTAGGAATATTGGACATCAAATTGGATAAAAGATGATGAATTAAACGAACTGAACTACACATAAACGCATAATCGTTAAACTACATTAGTAGTCTTGCTCTCTTCCGCTAAGGCGAGTAGAACGAAACTTCCTAGCAGTTTACTTTAAACTACTCAAGTTTTACGAGCAGCAACAAATGAACTGTTTAATTTGTGACGTGACTGGCATTACCTTCATGAAAAAGGAAAAGAAGGTGTGAAGAAATATCATGATCAAATATTACCACAACTTTGTTAAGTACCTACCATACCTAAATTTGCAACTTTGAATACATTATATTCGTTTCATATCATGTGATCCTCTGATAATTGTGATCCTCAGACATTATCATTATGCATGGGTACGAAAGCACGTGGAACCCTAATTCTATGCGGCACGTATCCCCCATTTCTTGTGTGTTTTCGTAAGCTGCGGGAAACGCGGCAAGACTTTCAACAAAAACGAGTGGACACGACAATTCTGTGACTTTCATTATTTTTTTCTTAATTGAAAGACTTGTGAGTTGTGACTACTTATCCTGAGAAGAACACCGATCTTAAACTTTAATTTTGTGAAACTTTCATTGTTTCGATAAACATTGATTACGACCCTCGACAGTGAAAGCTACATAAATATTCCACATAAACAAAATAAAAATTGACATATGACCGTGAAATCAACCACTCATATTATTTTGAACTGTTGATCAGCTAAAGTGTCGGTGGCTCTATTATATAGTGATTGACATGCTTGTCCCCATGAGCCTCGCCATGCTTCTATCTGGCGTATGGCAAGTCTATTTGGAGTTGGGGCTTCAGTCGTGCATCCCATGAACATTGGTGGGTCCATAACGAATTAATCCAAGCTTAATTCTTGGGGAGAATCTAGCCTAAAAAATTATTTTCTTCCTAAGGGTTATTGTAACCCAAAATTGAAAATGGTATGAAGGAAGTTTAAAGCTTAAACTTTAACCTTTATTCCAACCATTGTAAACGGTGTTAGAGATGCTATTAGTCTAAAAGCGGGTTTCTTTTATTTCTAAATGCTACTAGCTAGAATTCATTCACAGAGCAGGAATGAAAATTATGAAGTCAACAAACTGAATGGAGAACAAATTAAGGATGATGTTGAATTGCTGACAAATGCGTTATATACACTTGGGTTGGGTTGGTTGGGTTTGGGCTATCAATTTTGATTGTGTTGAAAATCGGGTCTTTAAGCGTCCTCTAGATAATCATCACTGTAATTGCAGCCTCTTAAAATAAAAATAAAATAAAATAAAAGAGGACTATCATTTTGAAGCAAATACAACAAAAAAATTGAATAAATATAATATGCTATGTGAAGCTGTTCAAACCATTAAATGAGGTCCGAATGTAGTTTTTTAAACTAAAAATGGATAACTTCATCCAAAATTAGCCAGAATATTAGCAAAATATCCATACGAACTTTAATTCAACATTTACAATGTGGCGAAAAATTGTTAAACCTATTAAAAATCATGTGTTACTTTTATTTTTTTGTTAAAATTTGGTAATTTTTTGCGACATCTTTCCCCTGAGCTTTAAAGAAATGCTTGTATGGTCCATAACATATTCCTAAACAGAGTTACGTCGGCCATAACATTCCTTGAATGTTTTACATGAATTTTAAGAGGCTTAGAAGCTTACGGTCCTTTAAAAAAATTATGCAAAAGTAAGTTCTAAATTATGCAAAAGTAAGTTCTAAAGTAAGATCAGCTGGTAGCTTCGTCACAGCAGTCCACAATTCTAGAGAGCGAAAAGATTCACACCTTGTGAGTGTTAGGTCAAACTTTTTTGTGCAACATGAGACCTTTGAAGTTACGCGAAATCTTTTCCGTCGGAAATGAGGTAAATGTTACAAGTCATATACCATTTATTGACATATAGGAATGGTGCAGGCAGGATAGGTGCCTCTACAATACAGATGATACATTTTCGGTTACGATACTCGTCTTGCATAAATCGTGTATCCTGCTTCGTGGTGAATTCTGCGTACCAACAACATTTACGGACCTATCGAGCTTCATAGTTCGTAAGCAATAAAGATCTTCTAACTTACCAAGGTGATGTTTTTATTTTGTTTACTTTGAAGACGGAGAATTCAGCTTCTTTTCGAGTAGCTTGGCCTTTCGAAGAGCATCCAAGGCCTCCGCTTGTTTTCCAGCACGTTTGAAATTTACCGCCTTTACCTTCTCTGCCTTGATCTGTTCTTCCAGCTGACTTCTATCTTGGATTGTGTTATTGCTCTTACCAACATTAACTTTTGAAGGCTCTGGTCTTTCGGGGCCTTGCGATAAATTACTAGCATTTTCGATTCCAATTTCTTTCAAGGCAGCCAGTAGTTGAGGATCAAGACCCTCAACAGAGATATCATCCATTGATTCTCCTTTGTCAACGGTTGCGGAATCATGAGCAGCTGATAGATCCAACTGATTCTCCAGTGCCTTGGCTAATTCAAACTCGGCTTCTGCTTCTTCCATCCGACCCTCCCTCCGCAACTTCATAGCCTGACGTTTGTGGCCAAGAGACTCCTGTTGCAACTTGAAGCGATCACGACTGGACAAAGGTTTTGGGTCCGAAGATGGTGAACTGTGATGCTTTTGGCTAGAAGAAGGAATGTCTCGTGACTGTAATGATTGGGATTGGCTCTGCTCTCCAGTTGTATTTTGTACGGCACTGGACACCTCACTTGAAGCAGTTTTGGACTGAGAACTATCTTCATCAAGACGCTTCTCCAATAACTTTGCCTGACGAAGTTCCTCTCGAGCTTCTGTCAGTTTCCCTTCTCTCTTTAAAGCTAATGCCCTCCTCTTAAAAGCCAGGATTTCTTGCCGAATGGCACTTTGGCTGCTCTGAGAAGCAGCTTCCTGAACTGAATTTGCTACATTAACATCTCGCTTATCTTCCTGTTTATCAATTTTATTATCTTGGCTTCCCAGATATACATTCGAACAGGTCTGGGATCCCAACCGCACGGGAGGACTGGCGGTAAGGGAACCAACAGAAACAAACTTTAGGCCATCATCTTGTTTTTCAGCTGGCCTTTGATAACTTCTCCAGTCATCCCCTGTCAACAAATCAACTAGGTTTCCAGATTGGACAGGTGCAGATATCTGACTAACGCCTTCCGCTATTTTCTGGTTGTCCGGAAAATAAGTTTCACCCAAAGCACCCAATTCCACTGGAAATGGTTGGCTTCCTTTAGCTAGCTGTGAGGTTAGAGGAACAAACTCAGAATTCTTTGCTGACAACTTAACAACTTCGTCAATTGGACCCATTGCTGCCTCAGTAAACCTTCTAACATCTGTATCATCCTTCAAATTCCCTGCCTTTTCGGTGTTAATTAGATATCCGAAACTCTCAGATTTCTCTTCCTTTGAATCATCATGCAGACTCAAATCCTTTGGGGCTTCCATCTCTTCAATTTGAATCTCTAGCACCTTTGCCATCCTCAACACTTCCTCAGCTTCTTTGGTTTCTCCCTTCCGTCTAAAGGCAAAAGCCTTTCTTTTCATATCTAAAACTTCCCTTTGGATTGCACCTTTATTTCTTGGTGCAGAAACGGCTGGTTTGTAGGAGTTAGTTCCCTCTGAGAAAAGTGCTGGGTCCTGCATACTATTTTCTGTTACATCACCTCCATCACGTTCTTCCTCAGCACTATTAAGAGGAGGTTCAATGATATTTTCCTTGGGTGCTTCCATTTCCAAAATCTGGCCCTCTAGTGCTTTTGCCTTTTTTAGCAGTTCTTCTGCATCCTCAGTCTCTCCTTGGCGCCTCAGAGCAAGAGCTTTCCTTTTCAACCCTAAAAGTTCCCTCTGGATTTCAGCTTTGCTTCTCCTTGATCCTGCAGCTGGGACATTAACTGCTGCTTGAGTTACAGATGGTTCACTGACCTTCATTGAGAGATTATCCATTTGCTTAGAAGTTTCCAACAACGAGTTGGTCCCTTCATTATCGTCATCATTCCAACCCAAATTCTTTAACATAGAAAGGTATGCTGGATCATGCATATCTTGATCTGTTACATTTTCTCCTTCCTCATCTGCAACTGGCAGACCTGCAGAAACATTGGGAAGCTCATGTGCCAAATCTTGGACTTTACTGCCAACAGTCCCAGGCATGTCCTTCCGCATAGAACCATTCTCTAGCTCTTCAAGTTGCTGCTCAAGTACCCTTCCTTTCTTCAATTCTTCTTCAGCCTCATTTAGTCGTCCTTCCCTTCTCAGAGCAAGGGCTTTCTTTTTCAAGCCCAGAAGCTCTTTCTGAATCATTAATTTAGTTTTCCTTGCAGGTTTGGATTCCGTACATTCCATTGTATGAATATCACCCACCATAGGTGACTGCGATGATTTATCAGCAGCTTGTTTATGAATTCTCGCAGGATCATTTGCAACATTGCCCTCTTGAGACTCAAGGCTTTCAAGGTCCCGTTCAAGTAGCTTTGCCTTCTTTAGCTGTGTCATTGCCTGTTGCACATTACCTGCCCGTTTATGATTAAGCGCCTCTCTTTTCAATGATTGAATTTCGCTTAATAGAGCTTCCCTGTCAACGGAAGGTATCTGGGGAGGAGAAGTTTCCGGATTATTAGAATCTTGAGACCATCCTAAAGATTGTAAAGCAGCACTTATTTCTGGGTCCTCCATATCCTCATCTGTCACTTCAAAATTACCACCCAGATCATCAGCAGCACTAATAAGATGATCAAAATTGAAGCCATCCTCCTGCTCATATTGAATTGAAAATTCTTCCTGTTTGTCATCATCCATACTACGAATCAACGCAGATAGCTCATCATCAGAATCTTCAGCCTCAGCCAAGAATTCCTGTTCCTCGAGTTCCTTCTCTAGAATTTTAGCTCTTTTTAGTTCCTCCTTAGCTTCTGTAAGTTTACCGTCACGCTTCAGCATGAGAGCCTTCTTTTTAAGTGCAACAACCTGGGTTTTGTCAATGGCACCACTACCTTTGTTTTTATTGGTCTTTTGTGAGACCTCTCCCAGAAGAGAAGAAAGTTCGCCCTCCAAACTCAGACTTGCTTGTTTTTTGTTTTCATCAAGGAGATCCATATCGGACCATCCTAGTTCTTTAAGCTCAGCAGAAAGGTCATCCTTTTCTTTACCAACTGGAGGAGTGGCCTTATTTCTTCTTCCAGATTCAGAAGGCCCATCTTTAATCTGGCTCTCCGCCACATTGGCAGAAAGTAAAACCTTTCTACGCTCTTTTCTCAAGGATATTTCCAATGTGTCAGCCTGTCTCTCAAGCTCCTTCCCTCTCTTAAAGGCTCTTAATGCTTCCACAGACTTCCCTTCTCCTTTAAGAACTTTATACTTCTTTTTCTCGTCCAAAGCTTGCTGGCGCAATTCATCAGGAGAAGCAGATCCACCACCACTCTGTAAATTAGGCTCACCAACGGAAAGACTTCTATGTATTTCTCCTACCCCATCGTGGCTGGAATTTTGTTGACTACTTGAACATGATGCACTACTAGCGGCTCTCTGCATACTGGAAACCACATTACTGACATTACTGTTTGACTCTTGTCCTAATTCCTTTCTGTCACTACTGAGAATCTCGTCCAAAACTTCATCCTCATGATTTGATGTCAACTTTGAACTGCCTGCACAGAAGGTAAAATTAAAGGGTAGAGTAATTAAACAAAAAGCATGTGGCAGAAGCACAAACTGTCACTGAACAGACAAAAAAGATACCTCTCCCAGCTCTACTCTTGTGTCCATATCTCTCAAAGCGTGCTGCTTCTTCTAGCTTTTTACAAGGGTCACAAATACGCACAGGTGCATCACCTTGCCCCCGTAAGAGCATTCTTTGCTGGGTGCAACTGTTGCAAAACAAGCCGCCACACCTCCTACAATGGTGCTGAAATCCCACAATGTGCATTGTCAAGAATCGGGAACAAACCAACAGATACATACACAAGAAAGAAATGTCAAATTTAATCCTATCAAAGCATTAAGTTTATACCATTAGGCAAAGAGGTTTAAGGGCGTGTTTCGAACTGCTACTGTAAGGGCTAAAAGCGCTTTCTAACAATCAAAAGCACTTACGAACTTTAGGAAGCACTTCCAGTAGGTTTTTAAAGAAGCACTCGAAATTTCAATGTGTTTCTAACAAAGGAACTTCTAGTAAAAGCGCCTATGAGCAGAAGTGCTTTCATAGGAAGCAGTCAGAGACGGTCCCTAAGTGTACATCATTAAACCCATTCTTAGCACAACACAAACTACGAATCTCCAATACAATCTTAAACTAAACAATCACCATTCTTTACAAAACATTAAAAAATAGACAACCTACGATTTCTACACCGCTAAAAATAGAAAGCCAAGAATCGAAGTATCCTAATCTTGGTCGAATCCACATAATAAAAATAAAATAAAAATAAAAATAAAAGCAGCAATCTTTCGGCACCCAAAAATCGAAGACTGAAGAAATACAAAAATTAGTAAAGAATTCACAGATGGGTCATTGGATCGAGAGGGGCAGAAGAAGAAGTGAACCTTGCGATTGATGAAGGTGAACTGAGAAGAACATCCCTGGCAGTGTGAGCCGTCAACCGCCCAAGTATTCCCTCTCAGTGACGGCTTCGCCGGCAGCCCGATCTTCTCCAACATCTTTCCGCCCCGATTACGCCGAATCAATCAAATTAATCCCCCAAAAAATCATGAGAAAACAAAATCGAATTTCTCTGATTTTTCAGCTCTTATTTACCCTCTCGGATCGTTAAGCTTTGATACACGCAAAAAATGATTAATTAAATAACATCTGATGGATTTGATGAATCGAGAAGGAAAGGGAATACGTGAAGGGGAAAAATAGTAGTGACTTGTTCTATGTGATCTGATGACGATTAATTCACGTTGGGTTGGAAGACGCATCGAAACAGCGTCGTTTTTGTCGGACAGCGACATTTTGAGGACTCCACGACGAGGAGGAGGAGGAGATAGAGCATCTTTAAGCGAGATGTCAAATTTTAAATATTAAAATGATAGTTGATAGCTTATATAGTAATTTGACATTTTGTATAATATTTTGTTTCACCCGATATATTAAATAATAATGTCATTTAATAAACTTTTTATCTTTTTATGGAGTCTAATAATTAAGTCAACCAATCACATATTTCAAAAACTTAACAACATTTATTGTATATTATATTAATCTATTAAAAAATTATTTAATGAATTTGACAGCAAAAGGTTTTGTCTTCAAATAACTCAGTGCCACATAAGAAATTGAAAGCTTGGTTGGAGAGAGTTTGCTGTCATTTTTTTACTGTTGTATGCCTATAGTAATTTTAACATCTCCTTTGGAGATATTCTTAGTGGGAGTTGAACAAGTTTTCAAGATTTTTAGTGAAACGACAACAGAGATAGACTCGGTGCAAATATAACAGCCCAATCCATGGTGAGAACAGAGATAGACTCGGTGCAAATATAACAGCCCAATCCATGGTGAGAACACAAAGCCCAGCAACATATCTAGGTCCATGGAGGGTTTTACACTTGCATATACTAATACTAGTCTATTTGCATGCGCTGTCGTGCGTGAAAGCGCATCATTCTCGTCAACAACGAAAGCGCACCTTCGGCAATCTTAAACTAACCGTCACCCGGTAATTTGCGTATTAGTGATCTTTCAAGACAGTGATAAGTTACGTTCACGACCACCAGAAAACAACTTTTAAATCACCAGACAAGTGTGTATGCGAGAGGGGCGATCGTAGATTGTCCCCGAGGGTGAAGCTATCAGTTAACGACTTCTTTAATATCGATTTGTACTTTAAATCGGGACTACAATCAGGAGAACATGCTAACACAGTAACTTTCAGAAAATTATCAAACAAAAGAGAGTCGATGAACACTTCTCCGAACCTTTTTTAAGGGAAAAGGAAGGGAAGGAATGAAATTAAAACAACACTCCTTAAAACAAGAATCTGTAGCGTAACTCTTGCTACAACTGGCCTCATAGGAAACAGAACACTCTTTTTCCGCCTAAGGGGAGGAGAATACAGTTTTTCAATGGTGCCAACGGAACCGCGAAAAAGGAAAGACAAATAGAAAACACAATACGATGAGAGTTGTAGAGATAAGACACCTCTCGGGCTAGACGATCACAATCAATTTTGTGTGGCAATAACCATTCTGCGGAAACTGGACAATTCTTGTGGAGGCAGGCACTCACAGGTGAATGTGACTTAGTCGGCCTGCTTGTAATCCCAGCTACTTCAAACGAACAAGTTCGCCAGCAAAACTCTGAATCTCTATACCACCAAGTGATGTCGAAATGGGAACAGGACATTTAGTAACCATTTATCTGAGGCCTTGGGGTTGGGCCCATCAGCCGTGAAAAGGGCATTTGGGCCCGGCCAGGAATGCCCCTTCGGCCAGAAAACCGATCAGCTAATTTTGGATCGGATACTGATCTGGAAAATGCTTGCGCAAGCTCAAGAGCTGAAGCCGCTTTCCCGTGCTGCAGGCCAACAGCATCAGGGGAAGATGGTTTAGGTTGTTCAGGCTTCCGCCAGGTCTCTGGTGATGGTGGCCTCTCTGACTGTTGCTGCAGTCTCTCAGGCTCTCTGCTGTTCCTCCTACTATCATTACGCCAGTTCTTCTTCTGCATGTCAATTCTCTCACCATCTACCCGATTATCCCTCCTTTCGAATTTCTTTCCAGTCCTCTGATCAAAAGGATGATTCTCAGCTTTCTCACTGTGACGAGAAGGATTTGCGGGTGCAGGAACTCTATCAGGCCTGGCAACTTGATGTTTAACCCTTCAAACAACAGTTATTTGTTCGTAAGTTAAAAAAAAAAAAAAAAAAAAAAAAAAAAAAAATCCCCAAATTTCCAAACTTAAATAATAGAAATTTTTGAGATAGAAAATAAGTCGCTACTTGTCAGAATGCTGAGCTGTGTCAGGATTGGTGATCACAACATCGTCAACCCCTCGCTCCTTCAGAACCTGACATAAAAACAGAAAGGGTTTCAGAAAGGGGACATGAATCCACTCAATGCTCATGAACAAATCGAACTTAAATGTCAAACCATGGACAAAAAAATTCACCAGTTCTCGTGGGCGAGCACCACCAAATAATACAACCCTGCATCATTCACGGATTTCATCAGATATTACTTGCAACTATCAATGTAGAGACCCAATATTAAGAACAACAAGCACATATTCTTTTGTGAATGCCACCAAGAAGTAAGAGTGGAAGGGTAACGTTCTGTCATGGACTCATGCTACAAATTCAATCAATGCTTCTCGAACAACTGCTGGACTCCAAACCCAAATTTTGCCTTAAGCGGTATAGTGTACAGGAAGAAGGGGGATCAGGAGTAGTCTATTTAGGTTCAAATATTCATGTAAGCATAAAACAAAACAAAATACTAGACTCTGAGAACAACTATAGTGGCACAGCTTCATCCAGAAGGCAGGAAAATAATATATCAGACAAAAATTGAAGTCATTTGCTAATTCTGTGGAACAAAAGTGGAAGACAAGATTTTAAAATTTTCCATCAATAACAATATATACACACAACACAATAAAACAGTACTTAAGATGTATTCGCAAATTGTTCGTAACATAACCAACCCATGGGATTGGTTCAATGGCCTAAAGAGCTCTAAAAAGCAATCATTATGGCCTCAAATCAGGCCAACCTTATTTTTGGGCAACAACCGTGAGAAAACATTCTTCAATTTAAAAGATTTCTCCAGAAGCTTTTAGAGAAGCCCATTGCTACAAAAAGAATATTACTTCTATGAAGCAAAAAGTGTAATTGAAGTAGAGTATATAAAAGGGGAGTGGTGGCAAAGGATTACAACTAAAGAAGCAAACTGAAACAATTTCACGTTTTAATCTGGCCGAGAATTTCATTTATTTTTTACTTGTTGGGCTGAATATCATAATTTCCATAGAACAAAACCACAAAGGCCCTGGCCTAATACCAGAAGAAAATGGCAAGTACGAGCAGATAGAATGCCCAAAGTCGAGAAAACACAGTCAAAAGCATTGCATACCTGTCTCTTTTGGCATTTACTTCCAAGTGTTCGAGAGGCTGAGATCGGGGAATTAAATTCAATTTTGGACGCTCCACCGCCTGTTTCCCACCATCAGAGCCTGCCGAACCAGGTTTTGGAGCATTCGTATTTCCATACGCTTCATTGACGGTTTCGACATGGACGGACTCAGTCACCCTCTGGTACTTCTATAATCAACCAAACAATAAGAATTTAGTGCATTCAGTACAAGGTAGAACCCCATAGATTTGAGTATCTCTATAATACACTTTAATAACCTTGTCAATACCTGTGCATTAACAACTACTGTAGCTTCCAAACCCTCCACTGGCTTTGTTCTTGGAAGTAACTTCAACTTGGGTCGCTCTACAGGCTCTGAAGACACTATGGGATGCAATTCAGCCAGACCAAATTTGCCATCAGATGGAGCAGGTTGAACCCTGTTGTTATAAACAGTTGGCTTCCTATCTCTAAGCTCTGAATTAATAGGAGCCCTAGAACTCTCGTGATCAGGTAGCTGAACACCATCAAGTTGAAGACCCCTTTCAGCATACCTTGCCAAGGCTGCATCCCTTTCAACCATCACATCTGTCCTCTTGTAAGTATCACTACCATAACCCTTGGAATGCAAGCCACTCTCAGTTTCGGGAGATCTAACGACCTCGATATTTGTCTGATAATTGATTGAAGGCTTTGATTGCCATCTACCTGAAGACACCTTATCGAGTGCACTGGCATGGGCCAGCTTTTGAACAGCACTTTGTCCAGACCAAGCAGATTGCACTGGCTCAGATATACCCGCCATCTCCTTCCTCATTGCCCATGCATTCGGACAAGCCCCATCAACACCACGGCCGCCATTGCCACCTATGCTATGAGAATTCCCTCCAACATGGGATGTCTCGCTAACCCTCTCCAAGTAGGAACTCACTGCCCCCCTCGGGGAGAGCGGTGCTTGAGCCCGTGCCTGCACGCTTGATGGCACACCGGATGACACGCCTGCAGATATAAACGCCTGCTTGGGTTCGGCAAGGGTCAGGGGAACCCGAATGCTATCATCCCCAATGGTCCTGCGTGGCATCGACCCACCATCGAGTGGCTTGCGCTCGTCCTCATCAAAGTTCCGGCCAATGTGCACGGAGTGAGTGAGAAATGGAGTCTTGTCATCGAAATGCCTCGTGGCAGGAGACGTGTGGGGCCGAGAGCGATGGTCCGCCCGCCCCATAGGGTTTCCCCAAGCGGTGGGACGGTCGTAAGCCGAACGATCCGTAGGCCTAACAACTCTGCAGAACAAAAAACATCCAAAATTGGTGCAAAAATCAACCACGGTTTTTCAATCTCTCGCTCTAGGGCAACGAAAATCAAAGCAATTACAAAACCCAGATCTAAAAATCGGAGCTTTACAGATATGAATCAAAAGCAATAGGGTTTTTCAATCTCGTAATTTCCCAAAGCAATCCAAATACACAGAAAATATATAAAGATTAAGAAAAGGGTAAACGGGACTTACACACCAGGAGCAGAAGGAAGAGGGAGATCAGAGGGAATCGAACCGCCATGGAAGTCCTTGAGCGTCATGGTATTCCCACTCACTTTCTTCTTCGACATTTTTCTCTCCCCCTCCTCTCTCTCTCTCTCTCTCCCTCTACCTTCTCTCTCAAGATCTTCCCTTTGATTCAATTTGTAGATTTTGTTAGGAGATTGGGATTGAAGAGGACAGAGATTGGATGGAAGGAGAAGAAGCAGAGGGAAAAAGCTTCTGAACCTTGAAAGATCGCCTCTCTGCTTCCCTCGCTTATTGGAACTCCACCACTGCGTTCTTTCTTTCTTTCCCGTCCGTACTGCTCGATGGGCTTTCAATCTGATCAAGATAGCGTCTTTCACCTGATGATGATCCTGGCCGTCCGATCATTGACCGACCTTTGCAATTTACATATAACATATTCCCTCCCTTTTTTTTTCTTTTCCTTTTTTTCCTCAATTTTTTTTTTGTTAAAAAATAAAAAAATCTACATATCAAACTCAAATACAACAATATTTTCTTCAAAAGCAACTATAAAAGTTTATATCACTTAAATCTTCTTCAAAAACGTAGAATTTAGTGGTATAAAAAATGAATTGTTGAATTAAAAATAGAAGAAATAACAGTTGATGAAATTAAATATAACGGTTAAAACACTTGCAGCATTAATGTCACACAGCATTAAAAAGTCATACCATAATGAACGCTACAATCACTAATCCACAACCCAAAGTACCTTTGCCATCAAACGCACAATTCGTGGCCTCGAGAGGATTTTAAACATCAAACATAGTTGAGTGAACAGTTTTTTCATCAATCTAACTTCAGATTATAGCAAATAGAGACCCCAAATAAAAGACCAATGGCTAGAAAGAAGCCGCAAAATAACAACAATCAATTTGATTTTAGTTGTTTTTTGCGATGAAATGAAAGTACGTAAAGTGATGGGTAGAAGTAAGCTATGTCAAGAGTTTAAGGGGGGCGTTTGTTTGCCCTGACTAAGTTGGACTGGACTGGATTGGACTAGCTATTAGTCCAATACTGTGTTTGTTCCATGCTGGGACTAACATTAATGAGACTAAAGGGGACTAGCATGGACAAAATCCTTCACTAAGAGGTCTTAGCGAGACCCCCCAATAACCATGGGACTAGCTAAGACTATCCTCTCTTTCTCGTCCTCGTCATGCTCAACGACCATTCTCGACAGACTCCTCGTCATCTCCGTTCACCTAGATCAATCATTAACTTTCCGACTCTTTTTCAAATCCATTTCACAACCAACTTTCATGCAAAATATACCAAATTAAAGTTGGGAGTGACAAGATTACGATTTTACCTGAATCGAGGCCAAAATGTGGTCGAATGTGGCTGGAAAATGGCCTGGAAGTCTCAGCCTGTTTGGGCTTCTTCAAATCCATGACAGATTCGAGCATTCAAAGCTAAGATCTCGGTCCAGGGATGGTGATGAATTTTTTGGCGGTGCTAACTTCATCCAATTTAACGAGGAAATGGTAGGAAAAAATGAAGAAAAAGATAAGATCATAATAAAATATTAATAATTTATATATTAAATAATATAATATTATAATTTGTTATTATCCAGCTTCTTAGTCCAATACTGCACCAAACGCTTCACTAAGTTAGTCCAGTTTAGTCTAGTCTAAGCCAGTCCAGCTTAGTCCTTGAAGCTAATCCAGTCCGAGACAGTCCGGCGCAACAAACGCCCCCTAAAACCCTTCAATATAATTATTTTTTGCCTTTTAAAAAGAAAAGAAATATCTATTTTGCCGAAAATGTCCTTTATTTCATTTTTGTTGGACTGAAGATCAAGACCATGATTTTTGCACAACAAAACCAAAGAATCAGGTCCAAAACTGTAAAATCCTGAAGACGGAACAAATCGAAGTCCATCCAACTCGTCCAGTATGTTGCTCAAATTTCACGGCCCATACTTTTAACTCTCAATAAATAAAAACAAATGAGAAATTTTATTTGAAACAATATAAATTCATTCTATATTTAATAACAATAAAATTAAAATTTATCAATAAACTCACACTCAATAATCAAACAATTACTATTAAGTTATTACATTAACACTCCATGAGGTTTATCGAGTTTTCACGATACCCCTTCACATTTGAAAAATTACACTAAAGCCTTCTTAGATTTTTTTTTTTTTTTATCAAGAAAAACAATTTATTAAACCCTCAAGTCAAAATTTGCTTATAAATTTACTAATTTACCTTTATAATTAAGAAAAAGCTTTATTTTTTTGTTGAATAAGAAAATCTTTATAAATATTTAGCAAATTAATATCAAATTAAAACATTAAATATTTAAAAATTAAAAAAAAAACAAAAATTAAAGATCCCGCCAAGGCCAACCCACCAGGAGTTCGTTTTTTATTTCGAAGCTCAATGAATAGGACCAAGATTGTATGCCCTTTCATCCCATCCTATTTTTCTAACCATTGATTTCATGTTGAGTTAATTTAATGCTCCAAATTTTGCCACCTCACACGCTTTCACTCTCTTTTCTTCCTGTTCGCTTCTGCTACTACATTCACAGACCAAGAAACAATTTTACTCTCAGCCCACAGTTTTTGTTTTGTTTTGGTTTGATTTGTTCTCTCTCTCTCTGGCCCCTCTCCCCTTTCGCCTTCCCATTATGGATCTCCTCGGCTCTCTCACCACCCCTTCTCCTCTCATCTCCTTTTGTCTCATGGATTTCTTCTTCTCAGTCTCCCATTGATTTCTTCACCACCTACGCCTCTCGATTCACAATCGCCACAGTTCCTGAGTGTTTATTTCGAATTTTTTTAGTTCTCTCTAATCTGTTCATCCCCAAATTGTGACTTTCACATGATTAAATTCATAAATTCTTTTTTTTTTTCCAACACTCTAGATTCTGGGTTCTTCTCTATTTCTGAAAATTTGCATATAATCCCATCTGGTTTTTTTTTTTTTAATTGATCAAAAAACCATCTTTTGTAAAAATTTGGTGTTTGAATTTCTGGGTTTCCCTGAAAAATGGTGAGTGTGAATCTGGGAATGCTCCATTATGTTATGGACCATGTGTATGGTGCATTCATGCACAGAACGAAGATAAGCCCTCAATTGTAATTCAATGGCATTCTTGGTGGAGGATGTTGTTGTTGTGCAGCTGAAAATGTTTTTTGGTATGTGAATGCAGCAGCAGAAGCAAAGAGAAAGAAAGGAGAGTGAAAATGTGTGAGGTGGCAAAATCTGGAGCATTAAATTAACTCAACATGAAATCAATGGCTAGAAAAATAGGAGGGGATGGAATGGGATAAAAAATGGAAGGGCAGACAATCTTGGTCCCAATGAATAACCTTGTCTTCCTCGTAGGAATAGCAACAATATTCAACTTTTTAAAAACCTTTTTGTCTTTGAGAATCCATATGTCACTGTACATAGTGGCAAATTCAGAATTTGAACCTTGAGTGGTTCTAGTGCTAAATACAAGTTTTTAAGATAGGAATAAAGCACAAAGCACATAAAAGAAAATCAGTTTATTTACTTGGTAGGCTTGTTGTGCACATGTCAATAGATATCGCATATGTTGAACCAATCTGATGAGTGATATAGAGAGAATTTGTCGAGTGTTATTGACGCAACATGTCGAGGTATGCCTAACATGCATTACAATAAACATTTATTAGACACAAAAGATATCCATACTAAACATTAGAAGGGTACTCGAAAAACCTTCACATTCGGACTTAGACCACCTTAGTGCCTATTTCCCTCCGCCCCCCAACTGTGCGCAGTGCATTCCAATACCTATATTGGATTGCAGCAAGCAAATTGATCCCTTGTAGTCTGCAATATTTTGTGTTTTAAGTTGTAAACCTCAAGTTACTGCAAGGCTCCCCTCACAATGAATGAGACCATCGTTACAACTTTGTCGTCGATAAACCTGGGTGAAACCCAAATGAAACAGTGACATATTCCTCGCGACGAGGTTTGCACGCATTGATTGTCGGAGGCAGGACCACGTGTTTATGAATTGACAGGTTACAGAGATATATACAAGTATCCATCGTAGATGAGATGGTCTTTCTCTTGTCCATTTTACAGTGTTAATGTTTTATAATTTTATAAATTTTTTGTTTATTAATTAGTTTGAAGTAATTAAAAAGGGTAAAGTCGTCTGTTTGTTATTATATTTTTTTACTCAAGGGAATGTTTGAAAGTGAATTAAAATGTAAGGAGGTATTATTGTACTATCTCAAACGTAAGGTGATTTTGTGAAAACTCGATAAACCTCAGGAGGTGTTAGTGTAATTAACTCCTTTACAATTACACAATCTTTATCTTACACAATAATCAAACCCTTACCATCACACAGTAATTAAACTCTTACCATCACACAATTTTTATCATACGTTCTATTATGACTAAAACCCTAATTAACTGCTTTCATAGAGAAAAACAAGTTCCTTTTTACTAATAGATGGTCTATTTTGAAGTTTTAGAGTGAAAAACTTGTACACGAAGATAAAGTACTGGGGGTGTATGGATCAATTTAAGCAACTTCGAGTGTTAAAAAATGTAGCCACTAATAATATTATGGCTCTTGAAGATGATTATAAATGCTTTGATTGATACGTTGATATTTCTTTTTCTTTAAAAATATATTTGTCGATCTATTTTTCTATTTATATTTGCTTATTATTCTCCTATGTAATCAACGACTTCAATGAACTGGAAGACTTCAGATAACACAAAAGGTTCTTATTCTTTCTGTTTGTTTGTTTGTTAAGATTTTTTTTTCCTATTTGCATTCGCTTATTATTCTTCTATGTATTCATCGACTTCAATGAATTGGAAGACTTCAGATTCTTTTTCTTTCTGTTTGTTTGTTTCTTAAGTTTTTCTTATATGCATATATGTAGATAAGTGGCAATAAGCATCAGAAAGATAATAACTTTAATTCAAAGAAATAACTTTGATTTTAAAGGTAATATCTTTATTTCAAACCGCATGAGTACTAACTAGTTTACAAGAGGTTCGAATAGTAAAGACAGGAGATGGGTCAGAGTCCCTTTCTCTTGGTCACCAAATCCATCTCCATCTTGGTAAAGGCTGTGCGCCACTCGATCGAGCCATATTTGTGGCAGTGTTGCTGAACGATGACAGAAAAGGCACTTGGTTTGTTGTGAAGCATTTTCCATTTATTTTCTTCCATGCCTTATCTATCATGCCCTTAGTGTTCTTCCTATCATTTTCACTTCTCTCATGTACCATAGGATTGATGAAGGAGAATCCCCCCTCTCTTGCTCGGCCTGTTAATCATTTCGTTAATTATGTCATGATTAGGATTTTTGC